CCTTTCTTAGGTCAATATAGATGCCAATTGGGAGCTCATTTTTGACAAGTGCGGTGCACATTATATGAAGCTGACTAATAATGGCATCATTGGTATTCTTTTGGGAACGAAAGCCAAACTGACAGGGACCTAATATGTTGAATTTTACAAGGTAAGAATAGAGCTGTTTGAAAATAATTTTGACAGATACTTTTGATAGGATCGGTAACTTAACCATATCCTAGCCATATTGACTCCCTAGGATAAGGGTTATATCCTAGTCATAGGAGCTCGTCAGTTTTGTGAGCCTCTGTGAGTTATATTTCCTCATATTTTGAAGTTGGGGATTTTGATGTCAAAATACGACATATTATTCAAAGGACAGGTTAATACCCATTAGTTAACGATGAGAGGGAATTACCAAACGTGTATTGAAAATGGCATAAAATATTGTTTGTATCTACTAGTTAGAGGGTATTCTGATCATCATATACAGCCAAGTCAAATTAGGATTTGAAGTAAAGATTAAATTACAAACTAGGACAGGTTTTATTCTTTAAATAAAAGTTGCAAAGTATAAACAATACTACTTAAATCTTGTATATCTGCATATTATTTACGTATAAATAATAATAAGATTATTATTTATGTATAATAATAAGAAGAAGTAGAATTCAACCAGCATAGCAACTTTTACTGATGAAACGTTTGCAACAATATATTTATGACAAGTAATCTTAACCTATATCAATTGATACGGTCTGTAATGATGCTCTTACACATGTACTTGGGACGTTGACGTTGTGCTGTGGGGAATTTTATTCGCTACTAAGATCAACGAATCTTTTCATGGGAAGTGTACTTGTTGACTGGTGAGTGTGATCATATTGACACTACTCAGTCACCACGGGAGTGTTACTACACCATAACCTCAACACTGCCCACACACACACTACACTCCTCAACTCCACTCTGTCGTCATCCACACTGTCTTTCACAAGAAGTCTTGTGAAAGACAGTGTTTTGTATTGAGTTGGGCACCCTGGGGGTATTGAGGTGGGCACCCTGGGGGCATTGAGGTGGGCACCCTGGGGGAATTGAGGTGGGCACCCTGGGGGTATTGAGTTGGGCACCCTGGGGGTATTGAGGTGGGCACCCTGGGGGAATTGAGGTGGGCACCCTGGGGGCATTGAGGTGGGCACCCTGGGGGCATTGAGGTGGGCACCCTGGGGGCATTGAGGTGGGCACCCTGGGGGCATTGAGGTGGGCACCCTGGGGGCATTGAGGTGGGCACCCTGGGGGTATTGAGTTGGGCACCCTGGGGGTATTGAGGTGGGCACCCTGGGGGCATTGAGGTGGGCACCCTGGGGTATTGAGGTGGGCACCCTGGGGGCATTGAGGTGGGCACCCTGGGGGCATTGAGGTGGGCACCCTGGGGGTATTGAGTTGGGCACCCTGGGGGTATTGAGGTGGGCACCCTGGGGGTATTGAGGTGGGCACCCTGGGGGTAGTGAGGTGGGCACCCTGGGGGCATTGAGGTGGGCACCCTGGGGGCATTGAGGTGGGCACCCTGGGGGTATTGAGGTGGGCACCCTGGGGGTATTGAGGTGGGCACCCTGGGGGTATTGAGGTGGGCACCCTGGGGGTAGTGAGGTGGGCACCCTGGGGGTATTGAGGTGGGCACCTGTGGTGGGAGGGAGCACCTGATGTGCTGCACCTGTGGTGGGAGGGAGCACCTGATGTGCTGCACCTGTGGTGGGAGGGAGTACTTGATGTGCTGCACCTGTGGTGGGAGGGAGCACCTGTTGTGCTGCACCTGTGGTGGGAGGGAGTACTTGATGTGCTGCACCTGTGGTGGGAGGGAGTACTTGATGTGCTGCACCTGTGGTGGGAGGGAGCACCTGATGTGCTGCACCTGTGGTGGGAGGGAGTACCTGATGTGCTGCACCTGTGGTGGGAGGGAGTACTTGATGTGCTGCACCTGTGGTGGGAGGGAGCACCTGATGTGCTGCACCTGTGGTGGGAGAGAGCACCTGATGTGCTGCACCTGTGGTCTGAGGGAGCACCTGATGTGCTGCACCTGTGGTGGGAGGGAGCACCTGATGTGCTGCACCTGTGGTAGGAGGGAGTACCTGATGTGCTGCACCTGTGGTAGGAGGGAGTACCTGATGTGCTGCACCTGTGGTGGGAGGGAGCACCTGATGTGCTGCACCTGTGGTGGGAGAGAGCACCTGATGTGCTGCACCTGTGGTGGGAGGGAGCACCTGATGGGCTGTACCTGTGGTGGGAGGGAGCACTGCTGCATCTGTAGTGGATGGGAGTACCTAATGTGCTGCACCTGTGTTGAGAGGGTGTATGTGAGGTGCTGCACCTGTGGTGGGAGGGATTACCTGATGTGCTGCACCAGTAGTGGGCGTGATTACCTGTTGTGCTGCACCTGTGGCGGGAGGGAGTACCTGATGTGCTGCATTCGTGGTTGGAGGGAGTACCTGATGTGCAGCACCTGTGGTGGGAGGGATTACCTGATGTGATGCATATGTGGTGGAAGGGAGTATCTGATGTGCAGCACCTGTGGTAGGAGGGAGTACCTGATGTGCTGCACGTGTGGCGGTAGGAAGTACTTGATGTGCTGCACGTGTGGCGGTAGGAAGTACTTGATGTGCTGCACGTGTGGCGGTAGGAAGTACCTGATGTGCTGCACGTGTGGCGGTAGGAAGTACCTGATGTGCTGCACGTGTGGCGGTAGGAAGTACTTGATGTGCTGCACCTTTGGTGAGAGGGAGTACTGCTGGTGTGAAGGTGCCACTCACTTTGTGCCCGGCTACAGTATTCAGATAAACATGATATCTTGCTGTGTTAAGACTGGGTCGATCGTTTACACCATTCTAAGATAGAAAGAACTACATTTCTCCTGCCATTTCAACCCAGTGTGACGAAGATGAAGCAGATTTGAAGATATTCATTTGATTACGAAGCATACTCTTTGGAGAAAACAGTTTGTAAGCATACTTTTTCCCTTTCCTCAATGGACCGGAGGTGGAATGACATCGGCTGAATGCATGGAGGAAGAACATGTACTCTTTCATGTCTCCTAATTGGTTGTGTAAATGTTGACTGCTGTATAAGGATCTGTTCTCTCGCATACCAGCTATTAGCATTAGTGTTTATTTTCTCGCCTGAGTGATTAACAACACCAGAAGATTAGTATCTTCTCCGTCTAATACCGAAGGAACTGATGCTGCTATTTCCAATGCCTTTGATGCGATGAGTGTGTGTATAGCCTGGCTGACATAGCATCCCGCAGCCTGAAGACGGCCTTCTAAAAGTGTAATGAATGATCCTTTTTTAATTTGATACAAAATCAAACTGAGACATGGGAACGTCCATATTATCTGCAACGTTCACCTAAAGTGATGATTTTAAATTTCCTCTCCATAAGTTCTCACAATCTTTTATGCCGGGATCTCGTTTATATACATAAAAAACAACGTGGCATATTCCGTTATGTTGCAAGGTGTAGGAAACATTTTGCTCTCATAATTTTATGTGGGTTGCTGGACGTAGCCATACAACACTGTGCAAAAGGTGTTCACTATTAATTGTGTCTGTTGTATTGAGGAGAACGGACAATTCCCTTGATGGCGATGTATCCAGAAGATGCACAAGAGATGATTTCGTGCCCTTTCTGATTGATGTACCTACAAAGGTCGATGGTGGGTTTGAAGCCAGTTCATACGTAAATCCCCTGCCAACTCTTTATCACTTCGCACAATGCACAGCATTCTGCGAATGAGCTGGTTTGAGTTTATCACACCGTATTCATGGTTCAGCCTTACAATCTTGCACAGAGCAGATAAAGCCTTTGCCGTGTCCATGTGGCCTTAGCGGACCTCACTAAAGAGCTTACCAACAGTACTTTTGAGAGAGGAAAGCCCGATTTCCAAAGTTCGATCACAGTTTATTGGACTGTTCCCAATAATTCCACTTAAGAGATATCAGGTCAGGTAAAAGTATTTGGAAAGGATGGTGGACAGGCAACCAGTTCATAAACTTCTGGATTTCTGTCCTGTCCTAATCTTCTTTTCGTGACCTCAGGTAAATGTGGTGTTATGAAGATCCACCTTAGACTCTGGCAAATTCTTCAATAGCGTCCACAACTCTTGATGTGATTGGCATAGTATGCACCCATTGTGCAAGTGTAGATGTGGTCATACAGTCATACCACGACCTTGAGTAAGTCCATCTATGCTCATCACTTACTTCATTAGAACCTCCTCTATGGTCATATCTGACCACACACCAGCCCAGAATTTGCTCGATCTGCGAATAGTACAGAAGCCTTGTTTGAAAATTGTCCAAATTCTTCAATTTTCATTTTGTTTTCCAGTTGCAGTATTTTTTTCAGATAAACATGCGCAGATTTTGCGTAGTGGAAGTGACCAGCTGCATGGAAGTATGGCAGCATGTGCTGTACACCGTATATATGTAGCTGCCAATCACCACAGCGCTCAGCTCGGATAAACAAATTATCTTTACCATATTTATGTATCGGGTCGAAAGTTGTGCACTACGCCCACTCTCAATTTCAGGTTTTTTTGTACATTCCATTTAAACAAATTTGTTACTTTTTCAAGAATCTGGAAGTCAATTATTTTTTTTTAATATTAGATGTGCCATTGAAAAGCGAACTGTAGCACTCTTTCAGACATTAAGGTGTCGTCCTTTGTACTTCCCTCAAGGAGAAGAGCAGCTAAAACATAAAGGGTTCACATTGGCACGAACTGCTCTGGAAAATACCCTTCCCCTTAGCATATGGACTATGCTATTCTTCGCGCAGGCTGTCTGACTCAGGTCTTCTAAGCCACTGTCACTCATGATGTCAAATCGTGCCCAAGTAGGAAAGCAAAAGGTGGAATCCGACAAGACAAACTACTCCTGATTTAAGTGGACTTTCAGGTGGCGCTGCGAGAACAATGTCAATTGCTTTCACAAATAGTGGATAGTTATATGTTACCATCACATTAAACAGACAGATTTTTATTCCTTCTTTTGCAGCGTGTTGTAGTGAGGTGAATGTTGTGGAAACGGTCCTCCACGTCCCGGTCCTCCACGTCCCGGTTCTCCACGTCCAGGTCCTCCGCGTCCTGGTCCTCCAAGTCCTGGTCCCCTACGTCCCGGTCCTCCACGTCCCGGTCCTCCACGTCCCGGTCCTCCGCGTACTGGTCCTCCACGTCCCGGTCCTCCACGTCCCGGTCCTCCACGTCCAGGTCTTTCGCGTCCTGGTCCTCCAAGTCCTGGTCCCCTACGTCCCGGTCCTCCACGTCCCGGTCCTCCGCGTCCCGGTCCTCCGCGTCCTGGTCCTCCACGTCCTGGTCCCCCACGTCCCGGTCCTCCACGTCCCGGTCCTCCACGTCCTGGTCCTCCACGTCCCGGTCCCCCACGTCCTGGTCCTCCACGTCCTGGTCCTCCACGTCCCGGTCCCCCACGTCCTGGTCCTCCACGTCCTGGTCCTCCACGTCCCGGTCCTCCACGTCCCGGTCCCCCACGTCCCGGTCCTCCACGTCCTGGTCCTCCACGTCCCGGTCCTCCACGTCCTGGTCCTCCACGTCCTGGTCCTCCACGTCCTGGTCCTCCACGTCCCGGTCCCCCACGTCCTGGTCCTCCACGTCCCGGTCCCCCACGTCCTGGTCCTCCACGTCCTGGTCCTCCACGTCCCGGTCCTCCACGTCCTGGTCCTCCACGTCCCGGTCCTCCACGTCCTGGTCCCCTACGTCCTGGTCCTCCACGTCCCGGTCCTCCACGTCCTGGTCCTCCACGTCCTGGTCCCCCACGTCCAGGTCCTCCACGTCCCGGTCCTCCACGTCCCGGTCCTCCACGTCCTGGTCCTCCACGTCCTGGTCCTCCACGTCCCGGTCCTCCACGTCCTGGTCCTCCACGTCCCGGTCCTCCACGTCCCGGTCCTCCACGTCCCGGTCCTCCACGTCCCGGTCCCCCACGTCCTGGTCCTCCACGTCCTGGTCCTTCACGTCCCGGTCCTCCACGTCCCGGTCCTCCACGTCCCGGTCCTCCACGTCCCGGTCCTCCACGTCCCGGTCCTCCACGTCCCGGTCCTCCACGTCCTGGTCCTTCACGTCCCGGTCCTCCACGTCCCGGTCCTCCACGTCCCGGTCCTCCACGTCCTGGTCCTCCACGTCCCGGTCCTCCACTTCCTGGTCCTCCACGTCCCGGTCCTCCACGTCCTGGTCCTCCACGTCCCGGTCCTCCACGTCCCGGTCCTCCACGTCCTGGTCCTTCACGTCCCGGTCCTCCACGTCCCGGTCCTCCACGTCCCGGTCCTCCACGTCCTGGTCCCCCACGTCCCGGTCCTCCACGTCCTGGTCCTCCACGTCCCGGTCCTCCACGTCCTGGTCCTCCACTTCCCGGTCCCCCACGTCCTGGTCCTCCACGTCCCGGTCCTCCACGTCCTGGTCCCCCACGTCCTGGTCCTCCACGTCCCGGTCCTCCACGTCCCGGTCCTCCACGTCCTGGTCCTCCACGTCCTGGTCCTCCACGTCCCGGTCCTCCACGTCCTGGTCCTTCATGTCCCGGTCCTCCACGTCCTGGTCCTCCACGTCCTGGTCCTTCACGTCCCGGTCCTCCACGTCCCGGTCCTCCACGTCCTGGTCCTTCATGTCCCGGTCCTCCACGTCCTGGTCCTCCACGTCCTGGTCCTCCACGTCCCGGTCCTCCACGTCCTGGTCCTCCACGTCCTGGTCCTTCACGTCCCGGTCCTCCACGTCCCGGTCCTCCACGTCCTGGTCCTCCACGTCCCGGTCCTCCACGTCCTGGTCCTCCACGTCCCGGTCCTCCACGTCCCGGTCCTCCACGTCCTGGTCCTTCACGTCCCGGTCCTCCACGTCCCAGTCCTCCACGTCCCGGTCCTCCACGTCCTGGTCCTCCACGTCCCGGTCCTCCACGTCCTGGTCCTTCATGTCCCGGTCCTCCACGTCCTGGTCCTCCACGTCCCGGTCCTCCACGTCCTGGTCCTCCACGTCCTGGTCCTTCACGTCCCGGTCCTCCACGTCCCGGTCCTCCACGTCCTGGTCCTCCACGTACTGGTCCCACACGTCCCGGTCCTCCACGTCCCGGTCCTCCACGTCCTGGTCCTCCACGTCCCGGTCCTCCATGTCCTGGTCCTCCACGTCCCGGTCCTCCACGTCCTGGTCCTCCACGTCCCAGTCCTCCGCGTCCTGGTCCTCCACGTCCTGGTCCTCCACGTCCCGGTCCTCCACGTACTGGTCCCCCACGTCCCGGTCCTCCACGTCCTGGTCCTCCACGTCCTGGTCCTTCACGTCCCGGTCCTCCGCGTCCTGGTCCTCCACGTAATGGTCCTCCACGTCCTGGTCCTCCACGTCCCGGTCCTCCACGTACTGGTCCCCCACGTCCCGGTCCTCCGCGTCCTGGTCCTCCACGTCCTGGTCCTCCACGTCCCGGTCCTCCGCGTCCTGGTCCTCCACGTCCTGGTCCTCCACGTCCCGGTCCTCCACGTACTGGTCCCCCACGTCCCGGTCCTCCACGTCCCGGTCCTCCACGTCCTGGTCCTCCACGTCCCGGTCCTTCACGTCCCGGTCCTCCACGTCCTGGTCCCCCACGTCCCGGTCCTCCACGTCCCGGTCCTCCACGTCCTGGTCCTCCACGTCCCGGTCCTCCACGTCCTGGTCCTCCACGTCCCGGTCCTGCTCAAAGAATCAATGTGTTCAGCAGCATCAGCACTCATCGGTGTTAAGGGAATTTCACTAACTGGACCACAATTAAATTAACGTAACCTGTACTCACTGTAATCACAATAGCGTGATATATCAAATGAATAAATCCACAAGAGCCGGGATGAGGGTTCGAACTTACGTCCAGGATGATCCCAGACGCGCCTTAATCGACCGAGCGTCGAAGAGGCAGAATAACTTGTTGACATAGCCCGAGTGCATGGGAGAATTGGGTAAAACCCTGGTTTGTGTCTCGGAGAGGCTGCAGGATTCATGTGAGAGCAGTAGCAATCCAGGTTTCAATTCTTAAACCATATCGTGGCTCTGTTAATTAAGGCGCGTCTGGGATACTCCTGGGCGTAAGTTCGAATCGTCATCACGGCCCTTGTGGATTTATTCATTTAACGTAACCTGGTTTGTGAGGTTGCTTATCAATAATAGTTTTGTTTGTCCAAATGCGCTTATGTCTACCGCTCATTAGGAAGCTGTTCTAGGAACAGGTTTTTATGCTTGAACAGCTGATGCAGGAGTTACACATTTAATTCCCGCGACACTGGCAGTCCTGTGTCGCGGTGCTGGGGTGGTGAACACGTCTCAACACGCACACGCACACACGCTCATATTCAATATATACAAGTATAATTATATCTGATATTTGCATACCTTTTACACTATATCTTTTATTCAAAGACTTTTTTTTCAAAATATTTCATCGTTTACTTTTTATTGAAGAAAAAACTTAACGTTTAGTGTAGAATATATTTTAAAATCTAAAATATATTCTAAATATATAATATATAAAAGTTTGTGAGGGTACCACCTCTGGTGCCAATGTGGGGACCCATAGCCTCGGAGAAGAAAATAAAAAGTATTCAGAGGAGACCTTGTGGTTTCTCACTGAACACTAATATTATCTTCTCCTACCACCCCCATTCTTTTGTATGTACACATATATATTTACTTTATTTGAAGTTTGTTACAAAAAAGGAGTTACATATGGGTTACAAAGATGGTTGTCATAGGTTGTCGAGTTCCTCCAGCTCCTCAGATGGCGGGAAGGAACCCTGGATGCAGTGCGCATTTCCCCTCTGTATCGCCACACTGAGGCGCTGGAAAAGAAAGCTTGCAGCTCTCGGGTCCCTTGTTGTTTCAATGAGCCTAGAACCCAGTTCCTTCAAAAAACTGGTAGCACTTTTACCCCAGGCGCCGAGCGTCTCAGAAGCAATGGGGACAAAATTGTAGTGGTGATCCAGTTCTCTATACTTACGGGATTTGGCTGCTTCCCTGTGGGTGGCAGCGCCACCTGGTTGTGCAACACTGAGGTTAATGTAGGTGTTAGCCAGGGTTGATACGCACGTGTAGTCCCATACCAACTGCTTGCCATTCTTCCAGGGGTTCACTGTGATACCATCCGGGCGACCAATAAGAGCATCAGAGTTACGGGGCGTTAGGTAACGGGGCTCTCTTTCAGCTGGGCATCCAGCTGTGGTGAGGCTCCTCTTGATGATGTCGTTAACTTCACTGTGCCTCGAGTGCCATCCCCCTGTGCTTTGGCAGAGTAGGCCATGGTGACCGTACCTGTCAGCCACCACCTCGCCGCAAATACACCTATATCTGGTGTGGATTGGGGCAGCAAGGCGGAGGGCCACAGCAATTCGGAGGGCGTGTGGTGTGAGACGCGTGCCAGTTGCCGACATTGGGGTTGCTAACAGGAAATCCCCTGCATGTGGTGCTGCTACTGCTGTGAGGCGAGCAATGTCGTGTTGTGTTGTTGCAGCACCCAGGCACTCTGCAGCAACTTGGTCTACAATGGGACCATCCCAGCTGGATTGCTTGTGGGATTTTGGGGATGGTGGTTGAGGTGATTGGCCTGCACGAGAGGCCCACTCTGTGGCACAGCGTGTAAAATTGGGATCATGTACACCTGCCAGCTGATGTAAGTGGGCAGGTAGAATTTCCTTCACAAGGTCGTCGGATGCTGATAAGGAGGACAGGAAGGCTGGAACAGCGATTTGCGTTGCTGTTCGAACTCCGAGGCCCCCAAGTCTTACGGGAAGAGAGGCTTGTTTTCCACTGTAGGTCATCGAGAGAGAGGTTAAGGGCTTTTTCTAGCATTGATTTCAGTAACCGGTCATACTCACTTAGTTTTTGGCTACTGTAAGATGGTGAACACCTCAGAAAGTAGGTTAACCTGGGGAGGGACAGACATCTGGTGATGAGGTAGAGTGCATCATGAGCATCAATATCCTCAATCCTCCCATCCATCCTCTTAAGGTCGGCGATTTTCTTATCAATGACCTCATCGATGGCTTTCAACCCCAGGGGAGCTCCTAGGAGTGTGCTGTCTTCAGGTTTAGTTTTATGGATATTTGGCAGAAGACCCTCTATTCTCTCTACGATGCCCTGGTTGGAACATATTATTTCACATTTAGAAGGGTTCAGGGTGAGGCCTAAAACTGCACCTTGCTCCTGGATTTTTCTGATGTCCTCCAGGAGGGAGTCTTGGGAACCAGCTAGGGTACCATCATCCAAGAACCAGATGTTAAGCTCGCTGGACAGGACCTCTGTGACTTGCTTGATGACTAAGCAGAAAAGGAGAGGAGCGAGGGGGTCACCCTGTTGGACGCCTTCTCGCGAGTCAATTTCATGTTCGCCCAAAAGTAGCTTAAGATCCATACTGTAGCATGAATGTACAAAAGGGTAGAGGGAAGGGAAATGACTATGAACCGCACGGAGTACAGCATCCCTCCGCACCAAATTGAAGGCATTTTTGAAATCTAGCTTGATAAGGGCCTTTTCGTCTGTGATGTTGGCGATGAAGGCTCGAGCTGCATGGGCTGCCGCCTCACACCCTTGTGGAATGCCAACCCGAGCTGTTTTGGCTTCAGCATGTTGGCCGCTGCATCACTACTGTTCTTGCAGCTGCCTTTGCGACGAGACGCCGGAGAGAATTGCCCACAGCTATTGGCCTGATCCCTCCATCCTATTTCTTTAGAGCACAGAGAGATGTTCCAAAAAAGATAGGTCTTATGGACGCTGGTATGTTGCCAGCTAGACATGTGTTGGTGAATCTGGTTAGTTCCACCAAGAGGTTCTTTGCAATGTCACCCAGTGCAGGGTTGAGCATTTGCTTGAGGTGGTTGGGTTTTAGTCCTGTGAACCCACCTGCTGATCCTGTAGGGAAGGACATGGCTGCTTTATGGACCACAGATTCAGCCACCCAGAGAGGTTCTGCTCCGGTAGCCCCCACTTGTACAATGTCGTCCTCACGCGGAGCCCTGGGTGGGTGTTTCTCACCTTAGGGCTTGAGCTGTTGCGGCATCTCTGTCGGCAATTGAGTCCTCACTGGTGATGACTCGTATTGCGCCAATAGTGTTTCCTTCTTCTATTTTCTTGGTGACTGATGTTCTGATTTTTGATGTCTCGGATATGCCATTGTTGCTCTTCCTGCCGTGGGTGTTTCTCGCGCGAGTGGGAAGGCGCACCTGGTTGTCCTCCCTGGGAAAATCATTTATAGCTTTGATGACTGAGGCAGCTAAGGTTTTGTCTCTCCTTGCAGGGGTGGCTAGACATATGTTGCCAAACATTAGGAGGTTGTGCCATGCTTGGGTCGTTCCAGGAGAGTCGTTGACCTTTCTCAGGAGGGCAGATAATTTGGCTGCTGCATGGGGGCGGGCTGCTTTAGGGATGTGTTGCAAGGTTCTGGCCGATGTTGCTTTGATAGCTTCTAATAAATTTTCTGTGGGAATGAAGGTCTGGGAGGTGTTTTGCCTTACGGGCGGTGTGGGCTGTTGATTGGTGTTCTCCCTGGGAGGGCGCCCAGAACCCAAACACCTGGCTCCGTTAAAGTAATGAATGCGCACATTATCGTCACTCAACCGGATATAGCATAATATATATAATATATATATAATAATATATAATATATATATAATATATATATAATATATAATATATATATATCTAAATATATATATATAAATCTTTATTCTAAAATATATTTTAAATCATAAAAATTGATAAAATTATTAAACAAATTTAATCAATTTTATATTACATTAAAGAGCATTCTCTTAAATCCATTAAAAAAATCGACCTTCCAGATCCATCAGTTCGCCTGAAGTAGCTGTTTCCTGAAACCTTTCAAGAAACAAATATGGCCGACATCCTTTTTAAAGCAGAGGAAAACCCACAACGGGATATTTTTGGAGGTGCTGAGGTGGGCACCCTGGGGGTATTGAGGTGGGCACCCTGGGGGTATTGAGGTGGGCACCCTGGGGGTATTGAGGTGGGCACCATGGGGGTATTGAGGTGGGCACCCTGGGGGGTATTGAGGTGGGCACCCTGGAAGTATTGAGGTGGGCACCCTGGGGGTATTGAGGTGGGCACCCTGGGGATATTGAGGTGGGCACCCTGGGGGTATTGAGGTGGCCCCTCGAGGGTTATTGAGGTGGGCACCCTGGGGGGTACTGAGGTGGGCACCCTGGGGGTATTGAGGTGGTCACCCTGGGGGTATTGAGGTGGTCACCCTAGGGGGTATTGAGGTGGGCACCCTGGGGGTATTGAGTTGGACACTCTAGAAGTATTGAAGTGGGCAACCCTGGGGGTATTGAGGTGATCACCCTGGGGGTATTGAGGTGGTCACCCTAGGGGGTATTGAGGTGGGCACCCTGGGGGTATTGAGGTGGGCACCCTGGGGGTATAGAGGTGGGCACCCTGGGGACATTGAGGTGGGAACCTTGGGGGTATTGAGGTGGCCCCCCGAGGGTTATTGAGGTGGGCACCCTGGGGGTATTGAGGTGGGCACCCTGGGGTTATAGATGTGGGCACCCTGGGGGGTATTGAGGTGGTAACACTAGGGGTATTGAGGTGGGCACCCTGGGGGTATTGACGTGGGCACCCTGGGGGGTATTGATGTGGATACCCTACGAGTATTCAGATGGGCACCCTGCGGGTATTGAGGTGGGTACCCTGGGGGGTATTGAGGTGGACACCCTGGGGGTATTAAGATGGGCACCCTGGGGGTATTGAGGTGAGCACCCTGGGGGTATTGAGGTGGGCACCCTGGGGGTATTGAGGTAGGCACCCTGGGAGTATTGAGGTAGGCACCCTGGGGGTATTGAGGTGGATACCCTATGGGTATTAAGATGGGCACCCTGGGGTATTGAGGTGGGTACCCTGGGGGGTATTGAAGTGGGCACCCTGGAGGTATTGAGGAGGGC